GGGGATTCTGTTCTTGTACTCTTTGTACTTTTCTTTCAGGCTATTTGTATGTTTTTGCAAGGGTTTGTATCTTAACTGCTCTGGTCATCAGCGACCAGGTGTTTATTTGCACTAGTGCTGTCATTATATTAGATTTTTGCCTCTATGGTGACTGTCCAAATAATAGTATAATCGATATAATAGCCTTTTAATAAGGGTAAAAGACGATCTTTCTAGAAGTATATTTTGTTTTCCCTTGACTGTAGTGAACAATAACTTAGTAACTTATGGATGAAGTGTGAAAAACAACATCTTTGCTTCTCTCCTTCAAACGGCGTTTTTTCTGCTCTCCCCAACCGCAACATAGCTAGCCTTTTCATTTTCTGACATGACGCTATCAATCAACTTAATCAAGTTTAAAACAAAGGGCGCTGGTCTATCTATCGACACAGCACACTACAATAATGGTCCAGGGCACAAGTCATCTTGCGGGTAATAGATAGGCCAACAGATTAGTAACTGCCTGTTCGCTGGTGGACACGCATGTCGGAAACGACCAAACCGAAAAATGCTCAAACGCACACACAAAAAAGGGTCGGTTTCGTTTAGGCGGACACGCAGAATTTATTTCTTAAGAATTTTAAGCCTTTTTTTTTCTTTCTTGAAATACTTGATGCGGCCCATGTTAACTCAGACTCTACCTCCTGGGGCCCCGGGTAATTTGAGTTTGAAAACCCTGGCCTACATACGTTGTGGGATGATGGCACGAATGATTAATAAGGCCTGTTTGGTCCGAGAAATGCAGGTCACAGAGAGTGCAAGTAACTGATTAATGGCATGCACTCTTTTGCCCTATCTTGTGTCTCTTCAGGTGTGACCTTTGCGACGTCCTTTGACCTCTTTTTTCTATTCGCTGCGATCGTCTGCAGCCCATTCCTGTGTCCTGAAAAAAACTCTACTCACACACACACACACACACACACACACACACACACACACACACACATGTACAAGCGTAGGTTTTTCGCTCTAACACTGGCGCTCGAACAATCTGAATCATACGAAGAATGCACGTAGTTTTCAGTATTACTCTGACCTTACTTTAACTTATTAATCTTATAATTTCCAGACTCAGATCCAAGTTACAAGGACGATACAGCTGAGCTCACTTCTCCATCCATGCTGATGACCTGGGTATTGACAACGCTCACGGTAGCGTTTCTTTGTCTGCTGTGAACTGGTTAATCCCGTTTTGGCCCCAACCATTAACTAACAACACATCCTAGTATCCAACAGTCCTGCAAGCTTACCCCTAACTATACCCCTACCGCCTACCCTTATCCTTACCCCTTACCCTACCCCTACCCCTACCCCTACCCCTACACCTATCCCTACCCCTACCCCTACCCTTGGCCCTAACCCTAACCCAAACTTATATAAACTTTCTACTGCTATTTCATTACTCTTGGGGCCAAGACCGGAGACTGCCCCTTGAACTGCCAAAGTACTGCAAGACACTCCTCCACCCTCGCGGTTTTGAGGAATCCGCGTAATGTTACGGTACAGAAGTATTGTTTTCTCTTTGTTTTGAACTTCAATTCACGGTGGACGCGCCTTCTGGTCATTGGACACCTTTTGAAGGCGCGCTGTTTTGGGCAAGCTCAAATAAAAACAAAAACAAAAACAAACAAAAGCATGATAACTGATTTATTCATACATATGTTCCTTTCAATTGTCTCACCTTTATCTGAAATCTTTAAAATGCATACAATGAAATATACAAATTCGTGTGTTTGATTTTAATACCTTCGGCCAGCTGTTCAGGTGAACCAAACCCAGAATTGTTTATCTTTTTTTCTGCAGTTTCTTAATCTGTGGTATTGGTTACATTCATTCAACAAATTTTCTGCCAAAAAATCAAATTCTGAGTATTGAAGTAATACGGAAAAAAGAATTTAATAATGCATGTACAGATTGTTTAACGAATTATACAGTTGTTTTTTTCTCGCCTGAAAAATTTTACTCTCTTTTCTTATTACGCATGAACACTTCGCTGACGATGGTTGAAATGAGCCTAAATATTGCATTTGGTTTGCTGCCATGCGCTGATTGAACATATTATTATGTGCCCGGTACGTCCATAAGGAGTCCACTTAACAAAAGATAAGGGCCGAATAAAACAACTTCTGCCTCATGCAATGAAAGCATTTTCAGTAGTGAAAAGGCTCTGAAAGTGAAACATGTTTTCTGGAGTTATTAGATCACCTGGGAATCAAATGAATACGAAATAATCCTCATTGCGCAACCTTGTTAAACACGCCACTTAAAAGCAGTGTTGTCAACAGGTCAGATGTGAAGGAAAAACAAAGGGAATGCAGAATGATAATATGGTTTAAGAGACGGCTGTTTTTTTTTCAGGCTTCTTTGGGTAGAATAATGTGATTGAATATGTTCGGAGACATATGTATTATATTACTTAGCTTATGCTTGTAAAGTGTAGAGAACACAAATTGTGATAGGAAGCTACTTGCAATATGTTTAAAATCGAAATCGTGGTCCTGTCAATAAGTTGCCTTTCAAATTCAAATGTTTCTTTGTTAAACGATAATCGAGGATTGTCCGAAAAGTGCGAACTCGTAACGCATAATTAGCGAAAGCAGATGTTTTGCTGGTACATTTTGTTTAAAGCAGGAAACACGAATTTTGAATACGAGAAAGACGCCCACCGATTTCGAAGTCAGAAATCAACATTAAGGGGCCAGACGAGTTTATTCGAGAAGACAGGTGGCTGAAATGTAGGTACCTTACTATGGCTACTATAAGCGTTTCAAAATCCGTCATTCCTGTCACCTGCCACCATTGTCAAATCCATCCTTTGGTACCCTTCTTCCTGTGACAGAAGGCCGCCATTTGTCCTGGTCTCTGCTCTGATCTCTGCTCTGATGAATTACTGTGTAAAGTTGTAGACCACTGTCAGCTTTCACAGTGTTAAGTGTTAATGCACGATGTAGGAGTAGGAGGTCTTCCTTATTATTACATCCTATACTTTGCCCTGCAGCACTGCTGTCATCTACGTTTGTGTTTTATTAGCGTGACCTTGGTACTTGTCTCCTTTTGCTGACCTCGGAGAGCACAAGATGCTGTCCTACGACAACTTCTTTCAGGACTCGTTATTTCGTTTTTAGTTTGTTTTGTGTGTGTGTGTGTGTGTGTGTGTGTGTGTGTGTAAGTGAGAGTTTTACGGCACTTGCAACACAATTAGGTTAAATAAATGCCGATGTTGCAAGACATTAGCATACAAATAAAAATAAAAGAAAGAGGAGAGATAAGGACGATAAATCTTCGACAGAAAAGAGGAAACAAACTAAACCGGATTATCCGCCAGCCAGCGA